TGGAGAGAGGAGAGAGATAAGAGATAGAGAAGATAGATAGATAGAATAGATAGATAGTATAGATAGAGGACGAGAGAGAGAGAATGAGAGAGGGGAGAGGAGGAGAGAGACGAAAGAGAGAGAGGAGAGGGAAGAGAGAGAGGAGAAGAGGAAGAAGACGAGAGAGAGAGAGAGAGGGAGGGAAGAGGAGAGCAAGAGAGGAGGAAGAGGGAAGGGAGGGAGAAGAGAGAGAGAGAGAGAGAGAGAGAGAGAGAGAGGAGAGGGAGAGAGGAGGAGAGAGAGGAAGAGAGGAGAGAGAGAGAGAGAGAGAGAGAGAGAGAATGAGAGAGAGAGAGAGAGAGAGAGAGAGAGAGAGAGAGAGAGAGAGAGAGAGAGAGAGAGAGAGAGAGATGAGACAGACAGACAGACAGAGAGGAGACAGAGAGAGAGACAGATAAAAAGACAAAGAGAAATAAGAGTGAGAGAAAAAAGACAGACGGAGGAAGAGAAAATAACCAGGAAATCGTATAACGGATCATGCGAGATACAAATTCATTCATGAGGAACAAACCAACAGCCAAAAAAAGGAATAGCTGGCAACTCACACCCCAAGTCAAAGTGTTTGTTTATTTGTTTGTTGTTCCCACGCTTTCTCGTTTCGTCACGTGTGAGGAATAACAACTTCCTTTATCTTACCGTCCGCGAGTTTTACCGTACCGTCACCTCTGTACCGTCTGTGGTTCGTACGGCATCGTAGCCTCCACACCGTACCGTCTTTTATGCCGTATCGTAGATGTCGTAGACTCCGCACCGTACCATGTATGGCTGGTACCGTACCGTAGCCTCCGCACCGTCTACTGTTATGCCGTACCGTCTAGCTCCGCACCGTCTATTGTTATGCCGTACCGTAGCCTCCACATCGTCTGTCGGTGTGCCGCAGCCATCGCGCCGTACCGTCTGTAGTTGGTACCGTACCGTAGCGTCCCCTCCGTCTGTGTACCGTCATGTGTCTCTCCGTCAGAGGCGCCGATGTGAGAGCCGCTGTTCCCTCTGACGTCACTTACCTGACACGAACCGGGACACCATTTTTTCGGATCTGGCGAAAGAAGAAGAAAATAAATGATTAAAAATTAGTTATTAAGATGATGATAATGACGATAACAAAAATAATAATAACAGTAAATTGATAGAAATAAGAAATAAAATAACACTGACAATAGTAACAATAATGAAATCGGTTGAATTGTTTTGATCAGTGTGATTTTTAAAGATAAATCGTGTCCCTTGTCGATTAAAATTTTTGGAGTGTTGGATTTTTGTATCATGTAGAACGAAATGTTATAATTATGTTATAATGATAATTACGAGTAATGTTAACAACATTAATGATACTGATAATAATGATGATAATAATCATGATGAAGATAATAAAAATAACAATGATGACAAAAATGATAATGGCGATTATCGTCAAAATGATAATGATAAAGATAATAACAAAAACAATAACAATAAAAATTATAAAAATAAGAAATACAATAAAATTGACGATACTAACAACAATGGTAATAACAACCATTATTACGATGATATTAATAATAATAATGAAACCGATGATAATAACAATCTATACGTTATTTAAGAGCCTATAGCAACGTCATTTTCCTCTCCTATAACGGCCTACTTCGTTATCGGATTCCCATTATAATCGGGGGGGGGGGGAGTGCAGGAAAGAGCTTAGATTGACCCAGCGCTCTCTGACGTTTTCCCGCGCCTTTTATTTTGTGGTTTTCCGGTATTTTCCCTCCATTTTCTTTGTTTTTTTTCTTATATTTCTATCTTTTTCTTTTTCCTTCGTTTTTTTCGGATTTGTTTTATTGTACTTTTTCTCTGAACTATTATTTTCAGTTTTTACAGATCTCTTCTCCCTTCTGCTAATCTTCTCTTCCCTTCGCTCACTTATCTTTCTCTTTCCTTCCTCGTCCTATCTTTATTCTATCTTTTATCCTTCATTTCACCGTTCCCTTCCTTTCCACCTTCAACTTGCTTCCCCCCCCCCTCCCCACACGCCATTTTTCTCTTCTCCAACACTTTCCCTTCCCCCCTTCTCCCTTCTTCTCTCCCTTTCTCCACCTTCTCCAATCCTATCTCTCCCCCCTTCCCATCTCCCCTTTCCCCTCTCCTCCTCCAATCCCCCTCTCCCCCTTCCCTTCTCCCTCTCCTACCCCAATCCCCTCTCCCCTCTCCTCCCCAATCCCCCCTTCCCCTCCCCAATCCCCCTCCCCTCCCCTCTTCTCCCTTCCACCTTCCCTCCCTCCTTCCCTCACCCTCACACCTCCCCCCTCCCCACAGCCTAAACAATCATGACAGGTGTGACTGACGGGTCGAGACACGTGACACCTGCATCAAGGCTGTAACACTACCCCCGCTGTCATGCACCCCCCCTTTACCCCCTCCCCCCTCCCTGAGTTTATATGATTAGGGAAGTGGATATGGGTGACAGGGGATAATAGAGGGTAAAAGGCGGATAGACAGAGAGAGACGAGAAAGAGATAAAGAAGAGAGAGATATAGAGGAGAGAAGAGAGAAGAACAAAGGGAGATAGGAGAGAGGAAGGAAGGGAGGGGAGAGAGAGACTGACAGAGAGAGAGAGAGAGAGAGAGAGAGAGAGAGAGAGAGAGAGAGAGAGAGAGAGAGAGAGAGAGAGAGAGAGAGAGAGAGAGAGAGAGAGAGGAAAGAGAAAGGATAGAAGAACAGAAGGAGATAGGAGAAAGGAAGAGAGGGAGATAATGAGAGAGAGAGAGAGATAAAGAGACGAGAGAGAGAGAGAGATAAAAAGGGAGATAGAGGAAGAGAGGAGAGAAGAACAATGGGAGATAGTAGGAGTGAAAAGGGAGAGAGAAAGAGAGAGAAAAAATGGGGGAGAGACAGACAGAGAGACAGACAGACAGACAGAGACAGAGACAGAAACAGAAACAGAGAGAGACGAAAGAAAGAGAAAGACAGAGAGAAAACAAAGAACTAAGTACTTACGAAAGCAAAAGTACCAGGCTTGAGGCATCCCGCAGCCGCCTTGGGAAAAAAACAGGCTTAAGATCCCGAGAGAACAGCCTTTCGCCCTCTCTTTAGCGTAAAGCCGGAGGCGAAGATATAGAAGGGAAGAGAAAGAATGAGAATAAAGGAGGGAAGGAGAGATGGAGGAGGAGGAGAAAAGGGGAAAAGGGGGAGAGAGGGAGAATGAGAAAGGCAGGAATGAGAGAGAGGGAGGAGGAGAAAATATAGAAGGGAGGAGAAAGAAAGAATGAGAATAAAGGGGAAAGGAGAGATGGAGGAGGAGAGAGGGAGAATGAGAAAGGGGGAATTAAGAGAGAGGGAGGAGGAGAAAATATAGAAGGGAAGAGAATATTGAGAAAAGGGGAGGAAAGGAGAGATGGAGAGTGAGCAAAAAGGCAAATTAAAGAGAGGTAGGAGAAATATAGAAGGGAAGAGAAAAGAATGAGAAATGGGGGGGGGGAGGAAGAAGAGATGGAGGAGAAAAAAGAGAAAGGGAAGAGAAAGAATGAGAAAAGGGGGGAAGGAGAAAAGGAAGGGAAAGAAAAGAGAAAGAGGGAGAGAGGAAGAATGAAAAACGGAATTGAGAGAGAAGGAGGGGCAAAAGAGGAAAGGGAGAGAGGGAGGAGGGAGTAATGAGAGGGGGAAAGAAAGAGAGGGAAGAAGGAGAAAGAGAAGATAGAGAGAGGAAGAAAGGGGAAGAAAAAGACGAAAGATACGGAAGGAGGGGAAAGAGAGAGAGGGAAGAGGAGGAAGGAAGAAGGACGGGGAAGAGAAAGTGGGAAGAAGAAAAAAGGAGTGAAAGAGGATGAAAAAAATGATAGAAATAGAAGAGGGGGAGTGAGAAGGACGAGGAGGAAAGAGGAAGAGGGAAAACGGAAAAATAAGAAGGAAGAGTGGAGGAAGAAAAGGAGAGAGAGAGGAAAAGGAAAAAGTAGGAAGAAATAAAGAGAGTAGGCATAAAAGGAGAGAAGAATGAATAAAGAAGGGGAAAGAGGAAGTGGAGAAAGTGATAATGGGAGATAAAAGGAGAAAGTAAAGGGAAGATCTCGATAAGGTGAAAAAGAGATGAAAAGAACGAAGAAGAGGAAATAAGAGGGCGAGGAAGAAAGAACATAGAGAAAGAAAGGGGAAATAGAATAATAAAAAACGAAAATTAAGTATATTCTCGAAAAAAAGCATCAACCCAAACCAAAAAAAAATCATTTAAAAAAAAACAATACCTCCCCCCCCCAAAAAAAAAAGAAGAAATATACATAAACAGTAAAAAGAATGATAATAAATAAATGAATGAATAAACAAATAAAACGAAAAGAGAGGAAACCCAACTGACGTAACGAGCGGCAACAAACCGACCACGAAAAGTAGACGAGATCGGTTACAGTAGTAAACGAACAGCTGTTAGGGGAAGGGGGCGGGGCGAGGGGGGGGGGCGTGTTTACGTCGTGTTGGTTAAGCGTGAGAATTTCTGTCTCGGAGAGCGCCTAAGTGACACTTTATAGCGTGTGGGGAAATATTGATTGAGACAGTGTATGGAGTGTGAGGAAAGATTGAGTGTGACGGGTTATGGTGAGGGGTGAAGCTGTAAATTTATGATGAGGATGGATGTGGCAAAGTATAGATAGAGTGTGAAGAATTAATGAGTGTGAGATTTTATAGTGAGGGGTGAATGTGTAAATTTATGATGAATGTGACAAAATATTAGATAGAGTGTGAATAATTTATGAATGTGAGTTTTTATAGTGAAGGTGAATGTGACATCGTATACTGAGAATAAATGTGACATTCTATAGTGAGAAGGATTGTGACATTTTATAGTGAGGATAAATGTGACAAAGAATAGACATGAGTGTGGATAATTAATGAATGTGAGATTGTATAGTGAGGGTGAATGTGCAGATTTATGATGAGGGTGAATGTGGCAAAGTATAGACAGAGTGTGAAGAATTTATGAATGTGAGATGTTATAG